GCTGTTCTTAAGATGATGCATATTTTGCAAATAGGCAATAAAACATCTTCCTCATCAGACAGGGAACGGTAAGAGAAGTAAATCATCCCAAGGGACCTGAACATCAGAGCCAAAGCTGTCTGATGTGTGTCACAGTGTGCAGAGTGTCTTCTGCTTAAGAAAAACCTCTTCTCCTGCTAATGTTTTCTCTAGCCATCTGTCCCCAAAAGTCAATTAGCAATTCTTGTCATAAACCAGGCTGGAAGGACAAGAGGGAAGATCTCCTGCCCTGGAGATCTTGGAGGTTCTGGAAGAGGAAAATGCAAAGTTCTGGATGTTTCCCTTCTGAGGTATTGACTCCTCCTGAATGTTAAAAGACTAGAGCTTCCCAAAAAAAGTGAATTTATATCTGTCCTGAAAGCTTTATTGGTTATAAGTTCATATAAAACTTTTAAGTTTTTTACCATAGTTACAGATCCATTCTTAACAAGTATAATGACCCAAATCTACAGATACATGCTGTACATATGTAATTTTCATTACATTAAGGACATGTTTATTTCTTGAAGTCAACTGTATTAATTAAAATAGCTTTCACTGAAAACTACATTAGGAGAAATTAACATTAATAAATAATTAACATTATTTTGGTGCTAGTACTGAAAAAGCAAAATTAGTAAGAAAAAGCAAAAACAAAAATTCAGGAGTTTAAATAAATTGGAGATAATCACAGAAATAAAGTTTTTCATAGAAATAAATTTATAAATTGAGAAGAGTCACAATATTTGCTTTTTAAAAGTGAAAATAATTAAATACTAATTTTGATCATAGATAATCAAATTAACAAATGTCTCCTCTAGGTTTTCTATGGTTAGAAATATAGAATATATAGAATATCCTCCAAAAGCTCCATAAAGAGGAAACACAAGGAAAACAAACTAATTAGGAAACAAAAACTTTTAAAAAAATTAAAACAAAAAACTTTAAAAAACCTATATTCCTCTGAGCTGTTCTTATTCATACTTTTGAAGAAATTAATGTAGTTTTTAATAAGATTACTAAATTCTCCTGACATACTATTGACTGAATGGAAAATGTTTTCCATCCATGGAAAATGTTTTGATCACCTTGAATACCAGTATCTGAGTAGAACGTGAGCACTACACTATGTATGTGAAAATTATCTCCCAGGGCAAAAGCAATACCAGCTTTTCCTTTTAAAACCTAACTAATTTTTCATATTGAACAGCAACATTATTATTATACCTAGAACACTTGCAACAGTGCAATACAAAAATAGCAAATCCAATTATTTATAAATAAGTAAATGTTAACATTTAGTAGACCACACAACTCCCACATGTAGAGTTTTTAATATACTCCCTGACTATGTTTTAGGATTTAACAAAATTTCATAGACAATTCCTTTTCTAAAAATTGATCAAAAAAGCCCAGATTCATCCAAAAAATCTCTACTGGCATTCTAATCCAATTTTTTATCACTTGCTATATTTCAGTTTGCAAGATAAAACATGCAGACATCTGAAAAAGTTGGCAGAATCCTTCCTTCTTGGAGCTCTGCTTGACCATATGGCACTGCCTCAGGGACAAATTCATTACCAGTGTACCTCCAGAAATTCCCCAAAACTTGCTTTGCTTTCATACTGCAAGTCACTGAAAAATTATTGGGTGGCATCTCTGTGCAAATACTGGATTACTAGTAATAAAATTGCAAATACTTACATATTTTTGATTTACCAATTTACAATTAGACTGTCTTCTGCTTAAGAAAAACCTCCTCTCCTGCTAATGTTTTCCCTAACTATCTGTACCCAAAAGATCAGTGTTTGCTTTCTGATGACAGAGTAGCTTAATAGTTGCCTTTTCTGCAAAGCTCCAAGTTGGCACAGCATGTTGAAAATTGCTTGGAATAAAAACCTGGCCTAACAGATCTACTGTGTAGCAAGAATGAAATGGCAGGCTAAATCCATGCTTGCTTGTTTTGTTAAAGGTCATGGCTAAAGAATCTGATATTTGGCCAAGTATTTTATATAGCTAATAAACTACAGTTGATGTGTTTCCTGCATACTAGACGGGGGAATAAAGTGTATACTGTGGAAAGAGTATTTGTGTTTTTCTTGATCCTTCTGAGGTCACATTTTTCGGTCACTCCTAACCAACAACCAATCCTGTCTCTTCCTTGAAAGCCTGGACTATTTCTAGATCTCTTTTCTGCTACAATTTCTATATCTCTTACTCCCTTCACATGTTGTGAAAATAGTGTTTATTTCCCAGAGTGTTCTTTTGAATTGAAACACAGTAGGATGAAAACACATGCAATTTGAGTGTTAAATTGGTTGTATTTTTTTAAGCACTGAACTGGAGAGATCATTGTAACAAGTTTTTCAGGTGATAAGGTCATTCTCTAATTATTTTGCATTTTTCAACCTTCAAATTCAAATAATCTACTGATTTAATGGCTCAATAAATAGAAATAATAAATCTTACGCAGTGTGATAACAGGGATTCATTTTTTATTTATGACATGCAATTCTAGCTGCTTTTTCATTATAATTCACTGTAGTACATATTTTTTAATATTACATAGTTTAAAAAAAACTTGAATAACTCTTGGCCTCTCCCTGACAAATCCTTTCCTATTTACATACCTTCCCTTCACAAAACAAACAGAAAAGTCAAGAATTAACATTATAAAAACTGATTTGCCTAGAATTGTAGTGATTTATGCTTAGATAGGTGACTTGTCACAGAGCATTTTCATTTATTTCTCACCTCTGATCCCTTTTCTAAATGCCCACAGCACCTTTCAGAATAAAACTCTGCTAAATACTAACCTTCCTATTTCTTACAAATGTGCTTGCTCAAGCATTCACTTTGCATTTCCCCGTAGCATCAGACACCTCTGCTGAGCAGCAGAGAGCCTCTGTGGCCAGGTCAGAAGTACAGGAAATGCATCCCAAGCTCTCCTGCTGCTCCAGCTTTGCACTCAGTGTGATCCTGGAGGCTGAGAGTTCTGTGAGCTGCAGGTGGAACTCGAGGGCATGGTGCTGTCCCCTGTACATCTACAGTCCCAGCTTTGTTGGGCTGGTTGGAGTGACATTCACATTGTCCCTGAACAGAGGTGTTTGTAATGCTAGTAGGGACAGGCTGGAGTGCTGAGCTGATGTCTTTATTTTACACAGAGTCACAGAATGGTTTGGGTTGGAAGGGACCTTAAAGACCGTTTAGTTCTGACCCCGCTGCCATGGGCAAGGACACCTTCCACTAGACAAGATTGCTCAGAGCTCCATCCAGCCTGGCCTTGAACACTTCAAATGATGGGGCATCCACAGCTTCACTGTCTGAACATCATTATTTTGAGTTCTGACTCTACATTTCATTCTCAATTCATACTTCTTTCAAACTTACTTCTTGCCCAAGGCTGAATGAAGCACTGTCTGTGGCTCCAGTGTGTTTATTTTCTCTGTAACCAAAATACAATGCAAGCCTGAATCCATGGACTTTTCCTTATTAACTATTTATCACAGCTTATGGTACAAATTTTTTTGTGCATGCAGTATATTGTTAGGCTGTGTATTGCACTCTTAGGGCAGAGCAGAAATTCACAGCACAAGGAGTGAAGGCCTTCACAACTTTTGAGGCACCTAATGAGTGCCTCAAAGCAGTGCAAAGAACCTGAGTTCATAGGATGAGTTCTGCCTAAAAATACAAAGAATGAGTACTCCTGAAGCTTGCTCCTGCAAGGACCATAACCAGCTATATTTGAAGGAGGCTATTCAAATGCTGCACAATGAGGGTAAAAAAATAGTAAACAAATGTTCTGCACTCCTGTGACACCAGCTGTCCTCTTGACTTTATTCTATTTAATTATTTTTGCGGATCATAATGGCGTTCAGCAGGTTCAACTAGTCTAAAGAAAAGGAAGTTAAAAGCAAACCTATGTAAAACTGAGGATGAAGAGTAAGAGTGAGACACTTTTTTTTCTCCTTGAAAATTTGAAGGACAATCAGATGACGGATATACCTTCCACTTTTGAAGGTTTTTTAATTTTTTCAGGTTCTCTCCCTTTGCATGTGTTGTTAAGATTTTTCTCCACCAGTCATTGTGTTCCAGGGATTCAAATGACTCTCACTGAAGCTGTCAAACTGGTAATTGCTGGGAGTTTATGTTTTGACCAGCCCTGCTGCACAGAGATGAATTAAAACCTCATTTCTTGAGCCTGAATTCCTTAGGTAGCTTAGGAGCAAACAAATTTACTTGGTTTATGCTGTTAAGAATATAATTCTGCTTTTGGGCATTGAAATTTAATTGCTACTTAATAGATCAAAATGTGAAGTCTTTCCCTAGGGTAGCTCACTTATGCTATTCCTTCCCATTTGTTTCAGTAATAGAGCCAACCACATCTTCATGGAATGTTGTTAAAGCTCAGTACATTTTTTTTAACCTTCACAACCTGAATTATGTGTCTCCATAATGATCACTTGTATTTATTCAGACTAGTACAGTTGGATTTTGGTGCTGCTGAGTTCTCTCTACCATGTTAACTTTTCAGTTCAGCTACCAGATGTGTCTTTAGTAGAGATGACAGTTTGAAAACAAAGACAGTGACATCTTGATGGCAATAAACATCTTACACCATCTCAACTATTTATCTGAGTGTTTAACTATTATTTATAATATAACCCATGGTCTTGTTGTGATTTACACACTCCTCCTTCCAAATATTAGGAAGGGAGGTTATAAAGAAGAGTAGCTGACAAGAAAATCCATCTGAAACAGAATATTTTCCCTTTGACTGGGCAGTTTTTGCTTTTTTTTTTTTTTTTCCCCGTAAATGCTTCAAGAGACAGTGGATGATTTATTTTAAAGAGATTCTAATTCAAGGTTGTGCCAATGAAACAACTGTCGTCCTCTTTGATTTAGATGTTCCAGTCTTTCCCTTACGCAAAGGCTGTGTTGGCTTTGTTTCCTTTATAAATAATCTTGCTCCCAGAGCTACCAGCAAACTGACTCACAAGTGGTTTCTCTAGCAGGTAAGTGGAGGTTACAAAATATATCTAATGTCATTAGGCCTCCTTGGAGAAATTAGAAATATGCAGTGTTATTGTAGAATGAAGTGCCATATATCCTAATGTTCCCTGAAATCTTTCATCTTCTAGTCATTCTTCTTTCAAGCAAAATTTTGGCAAGGGTTTTTATTCCTCCTGTATGAAGACTGAGTAAGATTATCCTCTTTACCAATGGAAGAAGTTAAGTTATAGAGTAGGAAAACTTCTATTGAAATGTTTATCTTTTGTTTAATGTTTTTCCTGCTTCAACTGTTTTGGGTTTTTTCACTGTGTCAGCCAGAGGCCACACATCCCTCAGAGACTTTGTAGCTGGTCATCAATGAGTGGTCTTCTGAGTCTGGACTGGGAATTATCTGAGGAGGGCTACACCTGCCAGGTATGGTTTTGTTGTATTCACTCTGTTCAGGGAGACCAAATTCTGTTCTCGCTTGCTCAAGTGCAAGTATGGAATAATTCCCTTGATGTACCTGACAGGTACAGATTTCTCAGACGACTGTGTGGTTTGCTGCACTCTAATTGCCAATACTTTCAGATGCTTAATCCTGTGTCAATCAGCAGCACACAAGAGAGGAAGGCAGAGAACAGCAGCAGTCTCTGCCTTCAAGCAGATAAGCACAAATGAGGGCAGAACAAATGTCTCTGCTTAAAACTCGTTGTTGTAGAGAGCCAGAACTATTATTTATCCTTTGACTTTCCCTGTTAACTATTTCAAACCAGAAGCAGAAGGCAAATTTCACCACATGCACACACATCCACATCCCCTATATGTACCTTTAATTCTATTATACCTGTGTAGAAGTGGAAATACCTGCTCTGCCAAAGTGTCATTGCCATAGGAGTTCCACATTCATGGGAATGTGCATGGGAAAAACAGGCTAAAATTACCTAATCTTAGGTATCTTCATAAATCTCCCACACCTCTCCAGAGGTAGCTTTGGATGACAGCACACCTTTTGCAATGAGATTTTGTTTACTTCCACCCATAGCAGAAGCCACAGCAGCACTGAATGCCAAGATGTGATCAGACTAAAGCTTTATGTGGCCACTACTCCAAATGCAAGTAGATTTTTACAGTCTTAGAGAATTCAAATATGAGTCCTTTCACACTTTTTTCCTACTCATTCTCCCTCCCAGGCATAAGGAATTAACATGGCTCTGAAAAGACAAATCTAAAAGAGATATTTTTTTCACCCTGCCCCCTTTCTACAAGCTTCCCAGAGAAAATAACTATCTATTGAATTAATCTTTTTAATTATTGTCTTTTCACTACGTTACATTACTTTTTAGTATAGATGGATGTAAACATATTCATTCAGTGGCAAGACAAAAAGCACAATGGCACTTTGAAGTAGCTCTCAGGAAAGAAGGTCCTGTATTTTTGATTCATGTTTTTTGTTTCAAAATAGATAGTTAATACATACCATAAGATAATGCGTTTAAACAGCAGGCTATATGCTATAAATCCACACCCTTGTTTTCTGTCATTTAAAAATATTAAATATTACTCTAATGATACCATCTACCTTGACTATTATTTTGTTTGCAACTATTGGAGAAAGCACAGCCAGAGAAAAAGATGGCTGGCTCCTAAAAGAGCAGCTAGGGGTGCTTCTTTCTTTAGAGCAGAAACACAGGACATCCTTTTCATTAAATGGTAAATGCTTTTATGTAAAGAAAATTTCCTTAATGCTTGTAGGTAACATTTTTGTGGGGCATTATTAATGGCAAACAGTGATTTAGTGGAAAGTGTAAAAACAGAGCAATGGCCTCCAGAAATGTCACTTGAAGGTCTCTTGATTGATTTTACAACAATCCCAAAGAAGAATTCACCCTGTGTTCAAATCCAATATAATTTTTCATTCTTTGTAGAAATTTACAGTTTTACAGGCTTAAAATTAATTTATTCTGGAAGCAAATAGGAAAGAATAGTGTCATAAAAGCCAGCTACAAAGTCTGGGGCGCAATAAATATTGTTTCAAAGAAACATGCATCTTTCCACTATAATCTTAATAAAGAAACATATTTAGTAGGCACTGATCACTGTAGCTTGTCACCAAGTGTCTCCAATGACATCAAACTGATCTGAGGGTGAAGGATGTGACCAAAGTTTATAAATACACCACCTCCAAAGCAATTACCTGCATCAGGCAGAGCAAGCTTGGTTTGGTTTGGTCTTTTGAGGTCTTTTTCTTTAGGTAGATTGCATTGTAAAAATTACAACTGATTAATAATTCTATTTCTTAGTATATCACAATAGCTGTATTTCTTCATGTATCTCAACTTTGCAAAGCAGCAGAAGCTTTGCAGAGAATGAGGCTCCACATATTTCAGAAAAAAACTCTCATGATCCCAAGTACTGTCCAGCAGTAAAGGCAGGGGAAACCTTCTCTGCAATTTCACTCCCTTCCCTGATAGCTGTGTAGTAAATGAATTGCAGAAGTTCCCCCTCCCCAGGGCACAGCATGTTGTCTACACTGGTGGGAAGGTTGCTCCAAAGTGTAACTACTGAAAAAAGAAGCAGAACACCAGTGAGAAGTGCATTAATATATTTACAGTCCTTGATTTTGTACAGGTCCTAGCTTTAATCTCTACAGGTTACTTATTTTCAATAAATTGTCCACACACTTGATATGAAGAAGATTATTTCACTAAAGACTTTGTGAAATAAAGTGCACTAATGACTCTGTTAACATTATGTGTTTATGCCTTGTTACAAAACAAAAGTCTTTACAAAACCTCCAACATTTTATGCAGCTTTTTTTTTAGTTCCAGGCACCTCAGCTAACAGCATAGCTTACAGACTCAGAAATTGTATGTGAAAAATGATCCTGCCACAAGGACTTCATCAATTAGAAAATGTTTCCTAGATTTTCAGGATTTTCAGATTTAATTTTTTTCTCTCCGCCTTTTTAATGGTTCTTGCCATTTCATTCATAAGTATCCTAAATAATTCCTTTTTCCTCTCTGCTACTGCAAAGATTTATTTTGTTAAGGATATTAAGAACTCAGTCCATCCTTTTTAATCCTTTTTACTTTACCTGCTTCCAGTATTTTGCTGAAACACCCAGAGCTATGCACATCTTGCATGAAGCTACACTCACATGACAGGGAGAGAAGTCCTGATCAGTTTGTTTCTGCATAGCTTAGATGCCTTATTACTTTTTTTTTGCAACAAAATCATTGCATAGTGAATATATCTAGACTCAAATATGAATAAGAAAATCTTTCCTGATTTTTCCTTATTCATAAAAAAACACATAATTGTGTTACCTTGGTGCTGATCCTAAGGAAAAAAGAATTACCCATAAGAAGTAAACCAAAAATTCAAATTTTTTTCAGCTGTAATCTTTGCAAGATCTCCAGTCTGTTCAGATTATGATTTGGTCAGAAAATGCTTTTATACAGTTTTCAAAGCCAGGAAAAAAGAAGTTCTCTTCAACATATGCACACATGTCATACATTTAAAATTTTGGCAATTATGATTTGCACCTTAATTTCACTGTGGAAAGTATTTTTAAAAGGAAGCCACAGTTGTAATTATGTGAGTGAAATTTTAGTAGTAGTAGTTGACCCAACTGGTATATGCACAGCTTTAGATACAACAATATTTTTCAATGTATTTAACTTGTAAACATACACACTTCCCTTTTTTGCTTCCTTGCTTTTCTTCAAAAAGTGCCATCTCAATCAATGTGAAGTTATTTCTAAGAAAGTAGCGACATTGAAATAATATGGGACATACCCTCACTATCCTGGTGCAATAAATCACCAAGACCCATGGCAGTGAACACCCTTGCACAAAAAAAAGTTTATCTAGGCCTGATAACAGTTCATGAACTCGAGATTAGGAAACACAATGTTATGTAATGTCCACGCATGTGAAAAATTAGAATAGCTCTGATCAGTCATTAATACCTGGCTGACACTATTTTCTTGAACACTAGAGGGAGATCAAAGCAAAAGAATAAATTACCTGATACAGAGTGGATACTAATTGCAGTTGTTAATAAAATTTCAAAAGATTGGGTGATGAAAATCCAGATGTCTTAGCATCTCCAGTTTTCATCACTGTTTTCACATACCCTTATTTGACATTATTTAACCTACACTGTAATTTTAAAAAACAAAAGAAAACAGGATTAAAATACTTTAAAGGAAAATTATTCTATCGAAGCTGCCAGTACTCTATTCTGGATTAAATTGGTTTTTCATATGAAATATGTTTACTTTGTTGAGAAGATACAAATTCTAGCAAGAGAACAATGAAATGTGACCACGTGGTACTTTTTCCTAGCTGTACCTACAGCAGTAAGCAGAAAGAGAAACACATGTTCCTTCCCTGGAAAGAGATCTTTCTGCTCCACCCCAATGCCAGCAACTGAGATGTTTCACATTGAGAAGTGAAAAAATCTGATTTCTGACAGATGGAAATTAATGCCATCACTCTTTTGCGATCACAGCCACTGTTTTGTTCAGCGTTTGCTGAACAAAATTTTTACCATATAATGCCCAATTTAAAATATAGACTTTCTTAGTTTTACAGGAAAGAAGATTATCAGATATGCACCCTTTTACCATCCCAGTTACTGATGGGAGATACCAATGCTTTCAGAAAGATTCCCTATAAAGGAACAGTACTTGGACAATATCAAAGAACTGTGCTGCCACTAAATTTTAGCAACTTTCTTGGATGCTTTCTGCTCCATTTGGGTCTGTTTAATAAATGGTGAAAGATTTAAAATCAAGGTCATTTGAGGAAACTATTTTCTTCAAGAGTTTAACAATTACAGCTGAGGATGTTACACTTATGATCTGCTACTCTTCCTCAAGCAGGCAGGTTTCTTTTTGGGATTCTTTTGTACAGGCCATGCTGAGATACCTTAAGCATGGTCAACCTAGAAGTGAGCGAGATATTTTCTGTGCTTTGAGACAGACAGAAAAGCTACAGGAAGTAGAGAAGCTGACAGGGCCTTTAGGAGTCTGTGTTTTTTAGAGTAATTCCTCTGACACAATTACTTGTAATGACTGTAAAGAACCATACGATGTGCAGGGCAAGGCAGGATCAGGCTAGTTGGGTTCTTTCACTAACTTGCTTGTTCAGGGTTAAGCCAGGCTGGCAGACAAAAAGAAATTCCCATTAGCGCACGCAGGGATCATCCTGTCCTCATAACTCACCTGCCTATAACAAGTCCAGCCCCTCTTGTCCCCATGAAAGCCACTGCCTACTTACTAAAGACCAAAAAAAAGAGAAAAAAGGTTGCATTTTCTTGTTTTACAGCTTTAAAAGCTAAGACTCCACATCCATGTTTTTGAGTGGCTTGTTTCCTTCTTGAACGCTTGGTACTCCCAGAAAAGCTAGAAACGAGGAAAAAGGTATTTGTCACCAGTTTTTTGTCAAATGTGTCTTGATACAAAATTGCAACAGCTTAAACGCAAGTGACTGAAAAAATACATTGCTCCTGTCTGTGGGACTTTGGCTGGCATTTTCAGACAAAGGAGGTCATTCTAAGCTGCACCAGGCAAGGGGAACAAACCTGAACAGATTACCTGGTGTCCCAGTGAAAAACCTTTGGAGCTAGCTAGAGATAAAGGCATAGAAACAAGTGCTAGTACATTGGAGACTTTGGAGAACTGAGGGAAGGTTATGGCATTTCAAGAGACAAATGAGCACCTATTTATATACTGAGTGGGTTGTGAAATACACTACTTACACTATGTCTGATACACAATTCCCTTATTCTGTTGCATTCCTTCCACATTACTTTTTTTCCCAAAAAAATTTAGATATATAGAACCAGGAATTCATACATTTCATGGTTCTGAAATAAATCATTGGCTCTATATAATTGGCTTGTTATCACAGCTGTTTTGTGCAGTCCTAAAGCTGAAGAAACTACTCAGTACCCTTTCAGGTTTTATTTACTTACAGCTATTCAGAGAGTAAATACATCTTGGGATCTCTACGATAAAAGGAAGTATGGTTTGCTATTAAAACAATAATAGATGCAAAAAAAAGCCCCTGGGAAATTATACAGTATTAAGGTATAGAATTTTTTAACCGTATCTTCTCATTATAGTGCACAGCTGAAATTACTTTTATTGCTATTGCAGCTGACCTGGCCAGATTATTTACTATTTTGGCATCAAGGGAAAGGTGTTATTTATTTATTCAGTGAAATAAGTTTTCATCCAATAAAAAAAAAAGTCAAGACCAGACCCATTATTCTCAGACCTTTCAGATGCTAAGTTATTGTATTTCTACTGCAGAGAAAATTGTATTTTAGTTATCAGTGGGCACAAGACACACGGGAGAGAGTTATGGTTTGTGCCCAAGGCTAATGCTCTGAAGCACTGGGAGTTCCCAGCATCTTCAAGGGTATTCTCTGCCTTGCCACAAGCTGAAGAACTGGGGCTGGCTTTTAGTTGAGTATTACATACCAGTGTAAACAGGCTGTCGTGGCTTGAGAAGAAGTGAATTTTTTGGGATGCTGTGGTCAAGCCAATAGGTGCTCAGATTTGAATATTGGCACCTGGTGTGGACACTGGGGACACGGATATGACTCTGAGAACACAGGGGGTTAAAAGCAGAGAACTCCCAGGAAAACTTCTCTTGGGTTCCGGTGGTGAAAGAGCCCAGAGCTCTACCCTGCCTGGCTGCTGTGGCCGGGTGAGGTGGGCCTGGACCCTGAGGATAGAAGAGGATGGAAGGGTGGAGGAGCACCAAGAGACATTAAGCAGCCAGCCCCCAGGAGATAGAGAGAGAGAGAGCCAGTGCCGGTGTCTGTGCCGGTGCCACCTTGAAATTTGATAGCAGGGCCAGCTGAGAAGGAAGAGGGAGGATGTTGCAGCAAGAAGGTGCCCGGCAATGCAGCCATGGAAGTTCTGAACAGGCAGAGCCTGAGATTTTTAACCCTTTTCTTGCATGATGGAAACCTTACAAATGATGATCCTCCTGGAGCTGAATGAGAAGAGAGATAGGGATGAATAGCAGGAAATGGGCAAGTGTGATGTAAGTTTGTGCAAGTGAAAGAGGTCCGAGAGAAGTTGAGAAGAATTCTAGGTGGCAGGAGATGATGGAGAGGCCTTTGGCTGGACTTTTCTTGTGTAGCCATGGACAGAACCATGTTCCTGTGACACAGAGACTGCATCAAGGGAGAGGCAATGCCCCAGAGCCAAGAGGGTTCAGTGTTGGTACCCCTCGGCCCCAGGGGGTGGAATTTGGAGGGGACAGGCGTCCCGAAAGTGAGAGACTGTGCTCTCTTTGGAACTGGACAAAGCATCCTTAAAAGGAAAACCCTAGAAGCAGCTCTGGTCCATGTGCAGTGGTGAGTGCACTGGACATGGAAGGAAGACGTCACAATGGCAAATGTTCTCCAGGCCATGCCACGAATGACATGGAAACACACAAGGTTCCAGCTGTGTTTCCTGGGGAAGCCTATGGTGCAAGAGGGACTCCTGTCCTCTTGATGAACTGAGAATTGATTATCTGAAGAGTGGTGATGGACTGAGAGTTGGTGATCTGAGGGATGGCAACTGAATTGAGAGTCTAAGGTTTTGTCTTACTGTGATGCATTGGGAACTTGGTTGGAGGAGGAGGAATGTTTGGAAGGTATTTTCATGGGGGCACTGGCATTGTGCCAGCGTCAAACCATGATACAGGCTTTCTAAGCAACAAGAGCATCATAAGGAGCCACACCATAACCATGGTGATTACCATTCATTGTCAGGTAATCTGATTTTGATTTGTTTCCTAAGTTTGTACAATATTCTCAATATAGTTTCTGGTCCTGGGTTCCATTCTCCCAGTTTGTTGCTTCATCTTCCTTTAGATAGCGACCAAACAAATAAAAAATTGATGATGGTACTGCAAAAATATGCACGTTTTGTAACTTTACTATTGCCATCAGTTCCTGGCCCATTTTACCAGGTCAGGAGACTGCATCCTGATAGATAAATAATGTTTCTAAATATCCAGTGTTACTGAGCTGTTGATTTCTCCATCCAGGATCTAATTTAAACAAGAATGGGTTGAAGTTTTTGCTGATTTTGTTATTCAGCTACATATGTAAATGTGTTTCAGATTTTAAGTTTTTCATTGTCATTTATTGCTTTTTGACAGTTTAACATTTCTTGCTACAATCAGGCAGATTTATTCTTACACCATGAATGACCTCAAAAAAGGTAAAATCCAAATAATTCAGCTGTTGATTGTTAGGAAAACCAGAATTGTCCTATATGGTATTTTTTAAAATTGTAATGTCCTATTTTTAATAATTCTGAAATGTAAGCACTAGCTGGGAAAGGTTGACTTTGTGGTACCTGCAAAAGATAAATCTGAGATATTTCAGAGAGTGAGTGGCATGGACCTTTCATCTGGACAGTACAAAGCAAACTGTCAAGGTACTGACAGGGGAGAGAAAATCTGTTGCATCCAAACTCTCTTTGGTATTAACACAGGAGTGTAAGCATTTTTTTCACCTTTTATACTTGTGTGAAAGGACCTCAGCTCTAATTTCTGTAGACAGTAGAAATATGCACCCAAGCCCCAAAGTGTCTTCTTTTCCCATTACCTTTTAAGACATTGTTAAGATCCAATTATTGAAAGACGCCTCTGCCTGAGTGAAGGTGAAGACAAGACCACATGACAAAGTAATAGCATGGGTTTTATTTAACAGTATGTGTGAGGTAGAGAGATAAAAAGAAATACAAAAGGGCAAGGAGGGAAGAGAGAGAGAGAGATCAAGCAGAAGACAGTCACTACCCATGGATTCAGTGGAGTCCTGGTGGTCCTTCTTCACCCTGGGCTTCTTGGTGCTGGGGCCCAGAGTCATTTTTCTGGGAGTACCACTGATATTACTCACCATGCTCACAACAGCTTTACCTCCCTTGTGTAGTCTGCCTGTTCCTTAGAACCACTAAACTACTCAATGCACCCTACCTGGGAGATCAGTAGCAGTGAAAACAATCCTGTAACTCTGGCACTTACTGCAGATGTATGATATAATGTCTGTTGTGAAGAGATCAAGCACTGATAACCCATGTTAAACACTGAATACACAGATATTTCTGTCTGGGATATCTGAGATTGAAATATGACTGTGCACCATGCTGAAGCATCAGAAAAGGAGATAATGGACAAGATCTTTGATGGAACCCTAATAGAATAGTGTGCAGTAGCCATGTATACATGCTGAAATGAGAATCTCTGAAACAAGATGGTCTTTTTTTGGCTTTCTATTGATTGTTGGAAAACAACATTAAGTGATGTAATTATTCAGTTTATTGTAAATCCAGCAAAGCTCTTATAAATTCTCTACTCTTAGTTTAAAACAAAATTACTGTAAAATTATAAGCAGCAGATGTAATATACCATGCAATTCATAATATTATATCTTTTCAGTGAAGGAAACTTCATGTTTTTCTGGTAGATTATTTCAGCAATATGACTATATCAGCCAAGAAGCATTCTTGAAATACAGTTTTGAGAAAACAGCAACTTACTAAATGTTGCTAGCTGATTCTCCTGTTTAAATCCTATTGAAATGAATTTTGTCTGAAGTGCCTGTGCTGACTTCCTATAAAGAGTGAAAATTGGTAACAGAGTGCTAGATTAGAAATCATGAAACTTAACTGTGACAGTAGCTCCAGGTGAGAATAGGAAAAACATATCATTACAAAGACATTGTCAAGTTTCTCATTCTTGTTATAACTCCTTCCATCACATACTGACAGATGCCAGCCTAATTATCTTTGTGAATGTCTACACATGCTGCAGTGCAATACACTTTATTCAGCCCGTGTTTTCAGATATGTATGGGTACTCTCCTGAATACTTCTAGTTTCATCAAATTTGTGATGGCTGGTGCTCCAAGCCTTGTTTGTATACAAAATAAATGAAACTTTTAACTTCTCCCTTTGAAACAGGAACTGTGTGTTATAATATTCAGCAACCCTGATTATGAACAAATGTCTAAAGAAATTTCAAGATTTACTGATATGAAAGTGTCAAAGAAAGCTGGTTTAAACCTAAAAACAGAGGTGGAATCATGAAACTTTAGACTCATTTAGACTAGAAAACACCTTTGCGATTATTCAGTCCAGCCATTAACCCAGCACTGCCAAGTCCACCACTAAACAATGTCCCTAAGGGTCACATCCATACCTCATTTAAATACCTCATGAGATGGTGACTCAACCACTTCTCTGGACAGCCTGTTCCAGTGCTTGACAACCCTTTCAGTGAAAATATTATCTGTAAAAAGGAGACTTTCTAAATACCAAAATTGCATCTGTATTTCCCAAATTGGCTATGACAAGAAGAAAAATTCTCTCTTATCGTTTATGGGTCATATCCAAGCTAAATTAATATCATATCAATTTATACATTCATTTAAAGAGTAAAAAGTCCATTCCTTTGGAAAGATTCCTATATGCTTGGATATAGTTTAGATTAGGATCATTATGGAAAAAGGAAAACATCATCCCAGTGCTGAAATAATATTTGGGGTTTTAGATAGTTGTAAAATACAGACAAGAAAAAGTTGTACATAGGATCCTAGAAATACTTTCATGGAATCAAAAGACAGTTTCAATCTAAATTAAAATGAAGCCTTTCACTAACATCTAATATGCCTCTAAATCCATCAGTATTTTCTAATGTTCACATTTAAATTGAGGCCATTTCACTACACCATCAACAGTATGGGGGTAAATGTTATTGTTATGTTATTACAATAATGTAATGTTATTGTATGACAAGAGTTATCTTGGCAATAGTTTTATTTGTGTCTAATAATGCTGAAAATCTTGTGAGAACTGCCAGGCTTTCTCAAAGCAAACATCTGGGCCAGTAAAGATTGCCAAACTCTTCAAGTCTGTAAGATTAGTTTCAGTAAATGTGGGATGCACATTAGTAAAGAAAATTACACACATTTTTTAAAATCACTTTGAAGCTAAAAGACAATTTACACTTTGATTCTCTTTAAGGTTTAATGAAGCCTTGAACAGCTCCTATTTAATCATTTTTTTTTCTCTATGGTGATTATAGATGTGCTTTAAACTGCAATTCATGATATTTCAAATATTTATTTTTGCCTCATATGTGTGGTCAATTTCTTATTTATGTTATGATATTTATGTTTCTACATGTCTTATTGTAGGAGAAATTCCAGACATTTCAGTTAAGTCTTAAGATTGCTCCAGATGAAGGACAGAGCCTTCATCAAAAGAAGAATGGTCTAATTGACAGGTCAGCCTCACAATAAAGCCAAAGCTGAAAAAGAAGCCACCTAGACTCTTTCCATGACCAGAAGAATGAACACTGAGAGACCTTCCAACTTAATCAAACACCCAGGGCAGACAAGCATTCCATCCCTTGAAAACATAAGCAATTTTTCATTAAATATCACTGACTGCACCCAGGTTGTGGTGCCAGAGGAAGTCTTTTTCACTGTTGCTGCCGCTGGGATACTGGAAAATCTACTTATCCTCATTGCTGTTGTGAGAAATAAGAATTTACACTTGCCCATGTACTTCTTCATTTGCAGTTTAGCCATTTCAGACATGTTAGGTAGCTTGTACAAAACTCTGGAGAACATCTTTATCATCTTGTGCAAAATGGGATACCTAACACGTCACGGAGACTTTGAGAAAAAACTGGATGATGCCATGGACTCCATGTTCATTCTGTCTCTGCTGGGGTCTATTTTCAGCCTGCTGGCCATAGCAGCAGACAGGTACATCACTATCTTCTACGCTCTGCGGTACCACAATATCATGACACTGAGGAGGGCCTTGGTTATCCTGGCCATCATCTGGGCGTTCTGTGCCGGCAGCAGCATTGCCATCGCCCTCTTCTCCTATGAAGCAGCGACGGTCATTCCCTTCACCATCCTCTTCCCTTTGATGATGTTTTTCATACTCTGCCTCTACATCCACATGTTCCTCCTGGCTCGATCTCACGCCAAAAAGATCGCCTCACTGCCCAGCAGCACTGTCCATCACAGAACTAACATGAAAGGCGCCATCACGCTGACTATTTTCCTTGGAGTTTTCCTTTGCTGTTGGGCCCCCTTTGTTCTTCACATCCTCTTAGCAAGGTTTTGCCCACACAACCCTTACTGTGCCTGCTACATGTCCATTTTCCATGTGAATGGGACACTCATCATGTGCAATGCCATCATCAACCCTATGATTTTTGCATTCCGAAGCCCAGAGTTGCGGAGTACATTTAAGAAGATGTTCTATTGTCCCAGGTCAAGCTGCAACTGGTGAACACTTCATCAAAAATGAAAATTATAGAAGCATTTATGGGGTGCTGTGCAACATCAGTGTGAAGAGTTAAAAATACCAACAATTACACCCAAAGTAATGCTATGCTTGTAGTATACTGCCAGAGATTTTTCAGTTAACAAATAATGAATAAAAAATAAGTAAGCACACAAATCTTTGTCAACCAGACCTCCACACTAAGCTAATTCTGCTGATAATTTTCATTCAAGGAAAAAAACCTGAACAAATGTCTTAATTACCTTTTGTCATTTCAGAAAAATCCAAACTAAAATCCGCATCATGTTGCATTACCTGAGACATGAGCAAATTAATTTTGTATAAATTTCAATTCAATGCATATACTACTTTAAAATTCTGTTGGTTAAATTGCAATGAAGTGAACATTTGTTTCTAAACCATGCATTTGCATAAAAGTATATGGTTAAGTAGAAAACATGGACATGTAATTTTGCTGTAAAAGGGAACTCAAGGACTCTTCTTTAACATCTAATCTCCTTAAAATCATGCAATTAGTGATCTCTAAGTTTCAAAAGCAACTTTTGGAGTGTAAGTCGAAAAGAATAGGATATTTTGATTAAAAAGATATTTGTAGTCACTGAAGTTTTTATCCAACATAAAGTTGTCATGCCAACAAAGACAGGTTTTGAATTTTAAAACCCTTAAGCCAGGTCTGAACTAGCAAAGGGGATTGCTGAACTTGTCATTGCCAGTTCTCTTCAATAAAATAATAACCTCCACAGATAGGAAAAGCACTTTGATTCAACCATGGCATGCTGCCACAAAGAATTCAAGAAAACATAATACCAGAGATAAAACTCAAACAGTTCCGAGGAAGTCAGCCACCCAGGTAAGAAAACAACTCTCCAGTCTGGAAGGATGCTACAAAGCAGCCTGTAATTTAGAAACCCTGGTGAGAAAATTTTGAATTTTTCCTGCCAAAATAATACAGAGCTCACCAAATTTAAAGGCAGAATGGCTTTCAGTTGTAAAACATTCTGAAGCAGTTCAGAGTATATAGTGAAGAATTAAACTCACAGTAATTCAAGGAAGTCATTCAGCTGTGCCAGAGAGAAGTTTCAAGAGTATGGAACATGGACAAACCATACAAATTCATGTTATCTTGGGTTGAATGAGGGACAATAAACCTGAAAGCCTCTACAGACCTGCAAAAATCAATTGGAAAAGAGATACTAAAATGAAAATTTTTCAAACGTATGCATTTATTGTAAAAAAAAAAAAAGGTTCATCTATAAAATGCAAGTTTAGAAGGGAGTTCAGATAGAATCACATATTTTATTTTAATAAGAATTGCTTCATTTCCATCAAATGGCAGAATAAATGTAAAGCTGCACAGGAAGAAATGACTGTTAGAATTGGGGGGAAAAAGAAAAGAAATATACAATGTTAAAGAAAAGGGAAAACAAAACATCTACACTACTGCAGTGCCCTGTGCTCACAAATGATGAATTTTAAAATGATAAAAAATGTTGGAAAGAAAATTGTGATTAACACAGAGCTCATATTAACTCTGCAATGCATGAATTATCAGCCAAAAGTTCCTTCCCTCAAGACACTATTTTCCATCTGCTTCCCTAAAGCAGACTTAGTTAAGAGAGATAAGTAGCTTCCACCATGTTAGAAGTGAATGCATCCTGTAAGGAAGACTAACTGTACACATGCAAAGACTTCACATTCACAATGAGCTGTCCAAATGAAATTATTCTTATCATAAAATTATTTGTACCTCATAACACCTAAACATGGAGAAACACCTAATCATTAAAGAAAACACCAAACATTTAGCCCCATAATGAGGAATGCTCAAGAGAGACTCATGTCAAAATCTAAAACTCAGCAGTAAAAAGTATTATTGAAATTCTATAAAAAGTCCTTTGATAAGGACTCCTCTCCTGGAGATGCTGGCAGTTAGGACTTGGAAAGGTACCCCTGTGAAAGCAGGGGATGGACAAGGTCATGGCTACAGCAGACCTCAGGCGGTGCCACCAGCTACTGCATTTTTCTACCACACCAGCCAGTGGCAGCTCAGGGTAGTCCTGACGGGTTTGTTTAACTGGCTGCCTTTGGCCCTCATCTGAGTGCCCTCACCTAAAAAAGTTTCAGGGACTGGCTGGTGCCAACCTCCCTTTGCAGCATCCCCAGGCCCAGAGGAAAGAGGCAGTGGTCACTCACAGACCCCAGGAGACAGAGACCAGCTCCCACCCCTGCACTGCCATTTTTTCTGCTTTGCTTTGCTTTGCTTTGCAATGAGAACCTGGGCTTCTACCTCGCCAAACAAAATTCATCCCATGGGCACACCTTTGATTGTGTTCCTCTGAGCCCTCCTTCAAGGGCAGGACAAGCTGTTCTCCAGTAACCCATCTGCCCACTCTTCCCAAACTATCCCACTGCCTTTCCCAGCACCATCCCCAAGCCTCCAGGCACCATTTATCTGCAACACACAGAGCAGGTGTGGTTATGCAGGTTATGGACCAGTGAGAATTTTTTTCCATCTAGCTTGTTAAAACAAGAAGTCAACACCTAGGCAGTAAGATTTTGGTAGGTTTTATCCCACACTGCTTTCTTTGACTTAAAAGTATTTCTGCAGTCACTGACATTGAACCCAAGCACAGTCTGGAACTGGCTCCCACCTTGTCTCACCAGAAATGACATGCCTGTTCTCAGTAGCCTACCTGCACTCAGCTGTGAATGCACTCAAATCAATATCCCAAAACATCTGTTCCTGTCATGATGCCTGAACAACACCCAAACTTACAGTTCATGGTAATCTCTTTAAACTGGTGTAGACACTGTTATACTCTGTGTCTAATACACAGACAACCAGCAAGAGTGGGAAAAGGCTGCAGGGTAGACAGGTTGCAAATCATGAAAACTGCTTATTTTTTTCCATTTTTGTGTTAGAGACAACAGGATTTGCCATATTCACTGTGTAAATTTGTAATAAGCAATCCTGTGCATTTGCAATACAGCTGAAATCTGTGTCTACAATGTTAGATCTGAAGCTGAGCCTGGGGGTTACGTAAGGAGTCAATATAAAATTCAAAATACACATGTAAACATTTTTTCAGTTTGCACTAGTTATGATTAAATAGATTTTCTCTTGAAAATATTCCCTTCCTGGGAAGAAAGAGTCAGGAAGAACACCAAATGTGTTTGAATAAAAAAGTTTCTAGAAAGATTTTAATTTTTCAGTCTGCCTGGATTTCTAGCATGTTAGCAGATGGCTAAGTCTCTATGCATTATCTCCTAATTGCCTGTAAATTTTTACTTGCATTTTAGTTGTCCACTGTCCCAGCAAGTTTCTCTGTCACATACCAATGTCTCCATATATTTACCTATGTTGCTTTTTGAACAGATTCTTTAGGCCACAATTTTTGAAGCTTTCATTGTATTGTGCTGAAGTCACTATTGAAATTCTCACTGAATTTTTAAATTCTCGCATTTATATTAACATGTAAAAGTGAAGACTTTTCTCAGATTTTGGAACCTCCCTTCATCTACCCAGCTTGAAAAGTTTAGGAGGCAGAATTGTACCTTAACTTTGGGAGAAAAAAAGTTCATTTTGGTTTCTACCAGAAGCTAATAAGCCTGAAAGGAACATTCAGTTCTTTGAAGATCACAGGCAATGCTACAATCAATGTTTCATTTGGAAGGGCCCACAGAACTTTACATGCCTGTGGCAACAAAACATTTCCCAGTCACTTACTGCAAAACCAAAGAAGAAAAACTCCTCCTCTCCTTTATTGTTTTGAACTGAACTTCGTGTTCAGGAATAAAATGAACAAATCTGATAAAGACACCCAGGGGAATTAATTCTACTAAAAGAGTCAGTATGCCAGTGAGAGACAAACTTGCGGTTTGATTTTGTTTACAAATTAACAAGACAAATACAGTTTATCCATGAGAAAATATAAGTTTAGAGTTAGTTTATTTATGTGAAAAAAATAAAGTTTAGAGTTAGTTTATTTATGTGAGAAAAATCTTGTTTCTATGAATTGTTGTTCTGGACAAGACTTTCAGAAAAATAGGTACCCTGGACTCCTTTCAGCCAAACAAAATTTCAGTTTTTCAAACAAAACCACATTCTTCAAATGATACATTTATTCAAACAGAATTATGCACAAGTAGGGCCTGGTTTATTAATTCTCTCAAGGTAATTTCAGCAGAGAGCTATCCATTGTGTCCTTATCATTCAACAGCACTTTAATACAACTTTATTTGAAGTGTCATTTCTCAGAAGACACAATGCTGTTGTAAGCTTCCAATTCAAAGAGGATGACTTAAAGTACAATTCTGGAGAACTGAGTGGGACCACTAAACAAATGCTTTTCATGTCCACTGAAAGAAGTTTTCTTACATCCTCAAATCCCCTCCCACCTATAACACAAAATCAGACTATTGAACTGTCACACATAGTCTAATGAGTAACCATTAACTATCAAATAATTCTGCATAACTGCTCTGGAGTACAAATTCTTACTGAGTAACTAAAATTATTTATTGCTTTCGAAAATTGTGGGGTTTTTTTTACATTAAGACCATGAGATGGGTTTGTTAGTCCACAGTCCATTGCTTCATAGCACTTTTACACTACCATTTATTACAACTTCAGTCCCTGAACAGCTACCCCTAAACTTTGTACGATCTGGATAAAGATGGTACATTTGTGGGTGGAGTTACTCCATTGGCAGCTTCTCACCCTCTGACAACCTAACCAAGGATAGAGGAGATGCAGCACATGGCCCAGGTGGACACTTGCACTGACATTTCAGCTGTAGTTAGCTGTACAGAAGGGTCCCCCGTACAAAAATACAGATTGCCTTGATGGACCCCAAAAGAGTCCCATGGCCCCTGCAGTGTCCTGACTCTGACCTGGTTATAAAGTCAGGCAATAAAAAACTACTTTCACAATGTCTAAAGCCTCTCAAGAGCCTCTATGCTATCACATCAGGAGAGCATTCAGCCCTGCAGGAAGTCTGGGAGTCAGAATAATACCATGAGGTATAATGCAGTCTCTAAAATGAGCAAGAAATGTCTTCAGTCCCTTTACAATCCCATCACATAGGTTTTTCTGGCTAATTGCCCCTGACAATTTAAATTGGGTCTCAGGGTTTGGTGGCATTGAAAATCTTGGGTAGGCGTCTTCCAATTCAGAACTAACTTCCCAGTCCAGGGACTCCTGCAGCTATTCACTTTCAAAAGTAATAATTATTATCCATCATTCTAAATATGCATTTGAGCTTTTGCTTGAATTTTAAAGAGTTGCTGATCCACAGAGTTGCTTAATGCACCATTCCAGTCTCACAGACCACAGTCTTACATTTTCATTTACTTGAGAAATGAAACCACTGCCAAGTAATTTGGGTAATCATATCATCCCGTGTGAC